GGGGGGGTTGTGGGTACGGGAGTGAGGGAGAGAGGGGGAGGGATTGGTGATGGGTAGGACCACCCGCATCCTTGGAATTGCTGTTCGAATTTGATCTGGGTGCTTGATGGTACTTGTGAATGTCAGATATTATATACCGTGGACTTGCAAATTTCAGGGGTGGCGAGGTTGGGAGGTGGGAGGTATAGTGTAGTATGTTGAATGTGGAAGGGTTTCTGATGTTATTTTCGTGGTTTACGTACCATGTGTGAAATATTATGGACGGGTATTTGTTTGTATGATGTACTACATCTATTGATGTCGTATGTGGTAATCCCTACCTTATTTAAGTTACAAATATAAAAGAAGCTGTTTCAGACAACTGCTTCAATTTTCCATGCCCTACTCAGAAGTTAGGCTATATCTAAAGATTAGGAGCGCAAAGTAATCTTACGTCACAAAATTCCGAACAGCTTTTATGTTTCGATGCAAAGTTCAAGGCAGCCTAAGACCTCTTTCGTTGTCGCGAACTATGTTAGATCCTTATGAAAGCTTTGGACTCGTCCCCACCAATACCTTCAATCCTCTCGAAGCTTTATTGATGGAAGCTGCCCGATCCCGTGTGGGACACAAACAAGAAGACGATTGGCATGTCAAATACCGAATCTACACCAGCATCAACCAAACTGTCATCCCCTGTACCTTCATGGAACTGCAATCCCGCCTACCATACATCAAACACGAATTAACCGATATCCTCTCCAATCGGGTCTTTCATAGAACTTCGAACGCGGAAGAATATTTTGACGGTATATCGGATTTCGGGAGTAGATTCTGGCTTTTGGTTCGTTTTGTGATTTTGTTTCAAGTTCGGTATATTTGGGCTTGGTGGGTTGAACAGGGGGGGGGGTAATGGAGGTAGGGAAAGGTGATAAGTGGGAATGGGTATATAGCTGTGAACTCTTCGGTGAGGAGCGACGACCATCGGTTGATTGTCTACCTTGTGGTTTGTATAGGGTTTGTAGTTAGAAGGGTGGGGGATTATATAGGTTGTAATGGATGTGTGATGGAAAAGCCTTGGAAGTGGTGAAGGATTAGTAAGGGTATAAGAGTGTTTAAATTGCGTGGTGCTATATCCACCTAGTTTGTTTAGTATATTTTAGGTCGCAAAATTACTAGGTAGGGAAGTTAAGTTAAACCGCAAAGTGCACTTTTTATACTGAAAAGAACCCGACATTGGCAAAGAACCCGACATTGGCTTACAAATATAGCTACCTTGCGCTTGCTAGTTATATAAAACGATTTCGGTATCTTAGTAGCGCGCATTCTGTGAAAGTTAAATAATGTCGCTATTCATAGGAAGTTTTAGTTATAAAGAAAAGGGGTTGAGCGGGAATTAGAATAGAACCCTGGGCGATTAATAGTACAGTACTAGGATAAAGGGGTGCGCCTCCGCCGAATCGGGCCTAGCGCTGTACTAAGGCGCCTCTCTTAGCGCTAGGTCTTAGCCCTCTCAACTTACTCTATAAGATACTTTTTCAAAGATTTTAAGCCCTCGAATAATTAACGTAACTATACTATATAATAAATCCCTATTATAGTTAGTTAAATTAAGTAATTAAATATATATTAAATATACTAAAAATCTTCTAAATCTAATATTATTTCGTCAAGTAATTATAGTCTAAGTAAACCTAGGGTAAATATATTATATAGCTACTACTAGCTAAGGTATAACTTACTATACTAAGCGAGGCTATACGCTATTGTCACGAATCACGTTCTCACGTGATACTTGTCATAATAAAGAGGCGCAACCCTCGACAGGCACATCCAGGTTTCTTATAGCAAATAGGGATGCTTAGACTAGCTAAGCGATCCAAGGATTTCTCGTGTATGTAGTCACGTGATCAATCGCATCGCCTGTATCGACAGTCGATGTTAGCGATAGGAGGTCGACTACATCGACAGGTGATGTAGGCGATGTAGAGAAAACGAAGGTTCTATATAAGACTGGCACGTCTGCCATTAGATAGGAGCTTCGTGCTCAACTTAGTTATCAATCTTATCATATTAGTTTGACATCTTTGATACAAGTAACGAGTTCACTTCCAAGTGAACAACCCGATAGTCTTCTTCTTATCATAGCATACCAACCAGCGAACACCCAGCCAAGTTTAGTTAGCCAGTTTGAGTATTCGTTACATAGTATTCCTATAATTCCTTTATCTTTTTCTCCCTTTTAATTAATCTATTTATCTTATTATTTTCTAGGTTTATTTTAGGGTTCTATTTGTAACGAATACTCAAACTGGCTAACTAAACTTGGTGGGTGTTTGCTGGTTGGTATGCTATGATAAGAAGAAGACTATCGGGTTGTTCACTTGGAAGTGAACTCGTTACTTGTATCAAAGATGTCAAACTAATATGATAAGATTGATAACTAAGTTGAGCACGAAGCTCCTATCTAATGGCAGACGTGCCAGTGTTATATAGAACCTTCTTGCTCATGGATCTGGTTGGATCCTAGGATCCCCAAGATCCATCCAGATCCAAAGATCCGTCACGTGACTATAATGAAATCCTTGGATCGCTTAGCTAGTCTAGCCGATCCCTATTCGCTATAAGAGCATGATAGTGCTTAACCTGTCAGGACGCCGCCTGGTCTTCACTCGTCACATGCTAACACGTGATTCGTGACAAAAGTATCTTATATAAGTTATAGTAATTACTATTTAAATTATTAGAAATAGTACTAGTAAATAAATAGGATTTTTATATGTAGTTATTATAGACTTACCCTTATAATATATAAAGAGTCTAAATTTAAAAGGCTTCTAACTAAATAAGTCTAGCTATACTTCTATAAATAATAGAAATAACTCTACTTATACTTCTAGGAATAATAAAAATAACTCTACCTGTATAGTAGAAATAACTCTATCTATATAGTAGTAATAACTCTACTTATTTAGTAGTAATAATAGAAATAACTCTACTTATATAGTAGTAATAACTCTACTCTACTTATACTTATTATAAATTAATTATATAAATAAAAGTCTTATATATAAGTAAGAAAAGCCTCTAAATTTAAAAAGCTATTAATTATAAAGTAGGTATTTTAAGCGCTAGTAAAGTTATTAAGTTATTAAGTTATTAAGTTATTAATACTACGAAAAGTTCTTATTTACCTAAATAACTATCTCGAAATAGCTTTAAATTAATAAATTAAGTAACTTACTATTATCCTAAGTAGTAAATATTATATTCGAACGCTCTTCCGCGCTAAGAAGTATTACTACCTTAAAGTTAGGCCTAAATTAATCCTTTAATAATAATAAAATTATATTATAATAGTTCTTCGCGAGTTTATTTAGTATATTATCGAGATTGTTCTAAAGTTACTAAAAGGCCTCTAAAATTTAGAGGGAAATATACTTACTTACTCTATCTAGGAACCCTTATTATACGAAATAAGCCTCGAGAAAAGCCTACTTATAATTATAACTATACTATAAAACGTTCTCCTTTAAAGGTAAGTTATTATAGGTCTCTATCTACTAAAAGTTAGTAAAAAGCCTCTGAAATTTAGTTATAAACAGTATATATAGATACACTATAAACGCTTAGTAGGGTTAGGATTATTAGCTACCGGGAGACTATTAGGGGAGTATTTACTATTCTAGTGTACGCGCTAGGCTTATAATTATAATCTAAATAAGAGATATTAACTATTATATATAATTCGAGTATTTTTAGAGCTTTTAAAAGCCTCTAAAGGCTCCTAGGGTAGTAGGGTAAAGTAGTATAAAAGTAAGGTTTAAATATAATAAATAAATATACTTAGGGCCTATTTAGCTCGTATAAGTCGGGCGTGAATATTAGGTGCAAATTCGAAACTTTACCACTTTTTCTATAACCCCAAGACCCTGTGCATATCTTTCTTGTTTTATATACAATTTGTACTAATCTGACGAAACAAATACACTGCTGTTTAGCTCGTCGTATAAGTTTTTTTAGGTTTTATATATATTTGTTAATTTTGTAAAGGAATCCCTACTTAGTAGTATCGCACCCTTGCCTCCCCCTACCCCCTACCCCCCACATCCTAAATCCTATGTTTCCTAGTATATCTTCTATAATAACAACAAAGGCACGAAAACTCGGCTAATTTATGTGACGGAGCTGGATTTCATTTGACAGGATTTCATTCGCTTGGCCAAGCACGTGACGAGACTTGGCATTGGAACAACTTAAATAACTTCGCTCCTTTCAGATTCTCTTCTCTCTTTAGTTTGATTTCTTCGTACCTACGGTTTTAGTTCTAGCAATTGATTCAAAAGCTGTATACACTTTATCCTTTGTTGGCATCCGTGACAATTTATAGATATATATAATATAAAGGCGTAATATAGTTGATAGGGGATATATACTCTACTATTACTATAAAAGGGACGCTATATTAATAGCAAGGGAGGGGGTAGTACTATAGAGGGGTAGATTTAAATACTAGTAGGCTATAGTATAGTAGTAGAACAATAAATCGAAGGATATACGAAGGTATATAAGAAATCGTTAGGGTTTTAGGTCTTATAACTTTTATATCTTTATTTTAGTAGTACATATCTAAAAAGAAGTATAAATAGATATACATCTAATTTATAATAAATTTATAATTTAGATATACAGCTAACTAAACACTCTCGCATATACTAATATACATATATATTAGTATATATATACAAATCTTTTTATATAGCGCATATTTAAAAAATTTACGAGCCAAACAGGCCCTAAAAGAAAAGAATATGATTTCAGGTGACTTTGCATTTGACTGCACATCTTTTTGGCTGTTCAGAAATTGTACTGTGTATATGAATGGAAGACATAGTTACTCCTGAGGAGAAAGGTAGGAAAACATCTCTAACCCACTGAGAGCGACGACCACACCCGGCCACCTGTGTGCTGACTCTGACTGAGATTTTCCTGGTAGCTTTAGCACCGATATTTGCTAGCCGATTAAATACAAGGGTAGAATTATCTATGTATGATGGTGCTTGAAAAATTATGTGCTAAATTAGTAAACAATGGGATAACAAATCGACGCAAACCTACTAGGGTATATGAATGGTTATGAGTCTTCTGTTATTGCTGTGGAATCCAAAGGCTCTTAACCCACTATTTTGCATGCAGGATCTACGAAATGTATCCAAATTGATATTTGGTGATGGAACGGCTGCTACTACTCGCTAGATTGTCGGTATTTATGTCCGGAATATGTTATTGGTTTTAAGTATCAATCCTTAGATACCAATGTCGTTTTGGAATCAAGGTATCCCTTTTTAATCTTCAGTGGTGAATCTGGTTTAACTTACAATTATATACAAATCAACAATAGTCTTTAGGGCAACAACCTCGTCTGCAATTCTCAAGTACATAGTGAAAGGTGAATGGAAAAGTGAAAGATGTTCAGCAAGTTTATACAACCAGGATATTGACCGGGGTTGTACGGAGATAAAGTGCCCTAATGAAGTGGAGTGGTATAGTTTTCGTGTTTACAAATCCAACCAACGGTTCACGGCCGGGTTATATCTTAAAAAGACCGCATGTGAAAAGCAAAGCCAGTAAGCAACAAGAATTTGGAGAAGCCCAGTTCTGGTTCTAGCTTTCCAGGCTATGAGATCAGAATGAAATTTCCCATGACCAAATTTCAGTTCGACTACATACGAGACTACTATATCGCAAACTGTGAGAGGTCTGCTATACATTATTCTCTGCTACTCAACACCACCAAGCTCTTACCCAGACACCAACTCCCGGACGGGATCCAACTCCAGAATGAACAACATTCAGAAGACCAGTTCTCGACGATACCAAAATGGCCCCTACTTGGGTTCATTTCTGCCAATACGGCCCCAATATGACTTGAACACAGAGCAACCAAATAGTTCTGCAGAATACTTAAGTGCGCCCTATGCATGCAGATCTGTGGTGTATGCCCATTGTAGGATCAAGAAATATTCGGTGGTATTCCTACTTTAGAACATGGGGGTCACACTGGCAAAGACAAGCTACATGTAAAAGATTGATTTCTGTAGAACACATGGAGTCAGGGAAGGGCTAAATACGATAACATGTTTCTCGCTACGTAAAAGGCCATCAGCACTCACCGATTACTATAAGGAGGTCTTCTGCCTGTTTCACGCCCCGTATAGGCAGTTTCCTTTACAAAAACGACCCTGTTGACCGGTCATGAGGCTCAAACCTTCTAAGCGTATCGTATATAGACCTATCTCAGCTCATGAGGCTATAATCTTCAAGACTCTCCTTAAAGTTTCCTCAAAGTCTCCTTATAGAGATGCCTTGGTGTATGTCAGGCCAAAGTCTTCCTGCTTCCCTGGTTTTCAGAGGCTTAAACATGTACCCGAGATGCAGGTACTGTGCTCCAAAGCCAACCCGTATACAGGCCCAATCCTTTATGTTCCTGCATCATACTCGCTCTAACGAGATTGCTGGATTCGTCTGTGCGAAGCTTGAGGAAACTTGGGAACTCTATTGGCTTCGGAATCCGGCAAGAGGGTGGGGAAGGATGGTAATCTCGTGGGTCTCAAAGGCTTGAATTGCTGCTTTCGTGCATAATGAGGGTTTTCGGGATTCTTGGCAGTAGTAGTTTTTCTCATTGGTCTTGTGATGGGTTATCGCGCGCGTGGAGTCTCACTACGGGCGAGGCAGATATCGAGGCATCCCAATAGGCGTTTCCAAGCCGTTGGATGCATGGAGGTGTGGAAAGAAGAGGTCGCAAAATGAGGGGTGCTGATTGCGGCACAGCTGCTCCGCCTTGCATGGGGGCTCAAAGAAGTGGGGCACATCACTGCGCCTCGTCTGCTGACCAATCATATATCGTGTAACGCGGGTATCACAAACATCACCCAACGACCGCATAAGGCAAATCTTTATTACTCAAGGCGAAAAGCTGTAACACAGCTGATCCTTCTCTCTTACATCTGACTGAAGCTTCTGAAACCATTCGCTAAAATTCAAAGATTTGTGGCGAAGCGAGATAACATAGCCCTGGGCAGAAGTTTCGGGCAAACTTACACCAAAGTTACGGACATTTGACTCCTGTGGCAAAGAAGCGTACTAATATAACAACGAGGTATGTTGCTCATATTTCTATCCTTTCACTAAGCTTTCAACAATCACAAGTCAAATAGCTCAATATCATCTTTGATTCACCGCCGAATCAAGACCCCCTAGCCTATATCTTACTTCAACTTCACACTTCTAACACGATGCCACACGCAGTTGTCCTCGCACCTACGACGATGTCAAACAACTCATTTCTTGGATCTGGGTCAAAGAAAAGCTCCATATTCGGCTCTATCAAAAAGCTTGGTCGCAAGAACAGTAGCAAATCTACTGCATCCACAAAAGCGATGGATGACAAGAGTTCCGCAAAGGAACCCTCGGATCTCTCAGTACCAGTAAACGCAGCTGGGTCAAGATCAAGGTCACCTAGTTCAAACCCATTTTCAACCCCCTCTCCTGCCACTCGACGACCAGACGGAACTGTCATGGGCGCTTTTACGAGTTCATCAAATAAGGCACCGCCAGCCTATTCTCCATCACCTATCGATGGCTCCGGTCCATCTTTTGCAAATATACCAAAAATCGCCCCAACTGACGACGCTGGCGATGAAAGCGATTACGGGTTTCTTGCCACCTTTGATACAATCATTCTGATCGACGATTCCGGCTCCATGGCAGGAGGTCCGTGGAAGGAGGTTTCGCAAGCACTTGCCAGCATTGCTCCTATTGTCACGAAATACGACAGTGATGGAGTTGATCTTTACTTCATTAATCATAAATCAAGCGATAAAGGTGATTTCCCCAACGGCATTGCGCCAACCGCATACAGAGGTCTCAGAAGAGCAAACTCTATTCACGAGTTGATGGAAAGAGTTCGACCAAGTGGTGGCACTATGACTGGTGTTCGCCTCAACAGTATTCTCCGACCATACCTCACAAAGTGCGAAAAGGAGTTGGCACTCGGAAATGAAGTAAAGCCACTCAATATCATCGTCATTACTGATGGTGCACCATCTGATGAGCCTGAGACAAGTATCATCCAAGCGGCTCAGAGGCTCGACCGAATGGATGCACCGCCATTTCAGCTCGGCATTCAATTCTTCCAGGTCGGCAATGAAAGAGGCGCCAAAGAGGCACTCGAAAGGCTCGACGATCATCTTGCAAATAAGGTTCCTGGAGGAATCAGAGATATTGTCGATACAGTCACATGGACTGGTGGAAACAGCGCTAGCGAGGGCGGAGTTGGTCTTACTGGTGACTCTATCCTCAAAGTCGTATTAGGCAGCGTTGTCAAGAGACTTGATCGGCAGCGCGCAAGTTGAGAAACCCGAAGAGCATGATTCTCATTATTTTCATATGTACAGTTCTTGTATTTTATTTTGCCATCCCTTGACTTGGGAAGATCTTCAATATTGGCGTTTTCGGAGTAGTTTGGAGTGTTGGAGCTTCGTTTTTGGAAAGATTCTGCAGTTATTTAGAGCTCCAATGGGCGTTGAGGGTTTCGAGAGCGGAGTATGGTAATCTCGTGGGGTTTTTCGCTAGTCTAGGTAGTCAGTATTTTCATAGTAGAACTTAGTAAGCATAATAAGAAAATCCGTCGAAAACCAATATCGAAACTCTTCTTCACTTCATATCAGAGACTTGTGCAAGCTGGAAGCTCTTTTGGTAGAGGGGGCGAATAAGACCTGTAAGCTTACCCAACTTGAGTCTTGCCTACCTACCTAGGTAGATACATTGTTTTTTTGCACGTGACCTAGATTCGTTTTTGGTATTACTAGCGTAGGAGCGATGGAAGAAAAGTTTCAACGTTGGGAGCGGCTGGATGTTGAGAGCAAGCGCAAACTTTGGACTACTTACTTGGATGATGCTTGAGTTTAAAGAAGTTCAATTGGGTGCTGTTGCTAAGAAACACGTGTCATTTACTGGAGACCGCCTATGATTGCCTATGATTGACAAATTTACCTATGTCTTCGGAACTAACAATGCTACAGCAATCAACTGGTAGCTCTAGAAGGATATTTTTGAAACCAGGCTATACGGTACGGGTTGTGCTATAATAAGTTCAGATTAGACTGAAATATGTTTCCCTAATGCTTTAAAATGAAATAGGCAGAGCAAACACTTAGGCAAATACAAGTGGAGTCTTCATGTTATCCTTTCTTAACATGTGAAACGGCTGATACGTAAAGAGAATATATTGATATTGATGACTCAAATATCGTATTAAGATTTAACTAGTAAGTAGATACTTTGTTAAGTAAATCAGATTTAATCACCAGATTGAACGAAGTAAAGAAAAAATTAGCAAACAAAGTCACAGGAAGAGGATGGAGAGGATATTTTTAATATCGTAAATATATGTGCCTGAGAAGTAGACTACGAAAACCTCTATCCAAGGCAATGAATCGAGTTTTCGTAAGGTATTTAAAACGCTATCGATGCTATCAGGGCAATGAACAGAAAGAAAAAGGGTAATCTAGGTAGTTATCAAACGTTCCAATTTTTTCTTTAAAGAAATATCACCACTCTGAGTCGAAATTTACAGACAAAAGCCCGGAGCAAAATAAATGAGTCAATTCATCTACCTCTACAGTTCTGTACATCTCAACGCTCGTATCTTCACTAGTAGCCCCCATAATTTCACGATGTATCCTCATTCCAAATACCGACTACCAGTAGCAAATCAAATCAAATTACAGCGAAATTCCGCATTTCAAAATTCCGAATGCATTCTTGAGAAGAAGGGGGGGGTTAATGCTCGCTTGTGTTAGTGGGATAGTCATGAGGTTTTTCCCTAATTAATCCCTGAGGGAAATTTGTACGAAATATTAGGCAGAGACATCAGAAACATTTTGTTGATTATGCTTTGCCTTGAGTATTTAGTTCGAGGTTTGGGGATTGCGGTTCGTACGAGTGCGTGTAGTGATTCAGTTGGTGTGCCAGTTTTCGGGGCGAGAGTGCTTCGGCCCGAGATGGGGAGACTTCTCTCAGTTATCGTTTTGTTCATCAATCTGAATACAAGAGACGATTTACGAGCCTGATAGAGTCATGAAGTTGAACTGGTAGGGAATTATATCCCACAGAATATTGTCCCATTAAGCATCCGAAGAAATGAAATTTGGGAGTGAGTGATCCACGTTACTGCTACCAGTAACATTTCAAGGCTTTAAGCAAACCTCATCAACCCCCTTTTTCGCTTTATGTAAAATGTAGGGAATGGACTTCTTGGCAGAAAACGTCTGCTCTAAAAACATTTCATGTGTGCCGATTGGAGATTGAGGTTGTTAGATTTGAAGGTTTGAATCTCGACTGTGTGGAAGCTCCAGAAAAACAAAGTAGACATTCTGTGATAACTGAGATGGTACGTTGAGTTCAGTTCTTCTGGGCCTCATTGAAGGTACAACACATAAGGCTGGCAGCAGACGCGAGGAAGGCTATCAAAACATAGAAGGCTACAAGGCGACTCACGAGACGCCCTCAAATAAACATCCCCAGCCTTCAGCCAACCCCATGAAATCCCCCAATTAATCCTTCATCACCCTCACAATGTTCTTGGGACAAAACCCTTCAGCTTCATCAATCCTCTTCACCACCCTCAAAAGACTTCAAAAGTTCACTCTGAAAACAGGCCAGGTATCAGACGACTGATCTTGGTACTACAAACCCCCTCCCTCACCTTTGAACCTATGAAATCGCCTTCAGATTCCTCGGCGGCTGAATACATCCCGAGGCCGTGTTTGCCGGGCCGCCCGTAAGCGGTCGGGTTCTTGAGCTGGATACTGAAGGATGCCTAATCTTTCCATTTTTGAGTGGAGTTGGCCGTCTTTAGGGTAAAGTGAAGCAGCCCTTTCTTTGTGGAGTAAGGTGGATTTTTCAGCTGCAAAATTTTATTTGGAGTTTGGGTGTGGGTTATGGTTGCCTGTTTGTGAGTTACCTGAACGAGATGGGGGTAGAGACGAAGGCGAAGGCCGAGGTTGTTGCGGCATCGGAGGGGGTCGAAATATTTGTGTGGGGTTGGGTGGGGGTAGAGAAAATTTTGGAGCAAAATTTTCCGCGCTAGTCGTGGCGGTGGTTGATGTGGAAACGTGTGGCAGGGAAGGAAGAGGGCTTGGGAAGCATTGCAGCATAGCAAAGTCATCATCACAAATGTCACATTCACATATCACAGAAAAGCAGATTTTTGATTATCCGGACATCCATTCATTGAGACGCTAACAAGCAAGTCAAAAACTAACTTTTAGACCCCCTCTGAACTTCCATCCATTCTGCAAAATTGAAGTCATCGCTAAGCTTTAAAGCTAAAGCGAGACTGTAAACATCCCCTCGTAAAACAAAGCACAGCCCAACAGTTCTCGCGAGACGTTGACAATGAGAACTGTTGGGCTTGCCCGTAACCACCGTGAAAAGAAAAGAAAAGAGAAAGCTCCATATCCGAGGGAGATTGTCGGCAGATGTTGAATCTGTTTGGTCGGAATGGCATGCGAGAAATGCCAAAGGGACCGAAAGAAAAAAACCGCAACGAGAAAAAGAAAACACTGGGTATCTTGACTGCAAACGAAAGCCCAATGCTTGGCTTCAGTCCAACTTGAAAAGGATCCGGAAACGCCGAAAAAAGAAAGTAGATCAGGTCATGTCGTTTCCAACCGACGATCAATGTACAGAAAGACTCCGAGGTGAGAATTTTCATGGCAAGAGCCAACCGGACCTCCAATGGTAGTACCGAGAGATGAAGAAGTACAAGGCAGAATGACCGAGTTCATTTCTGCCAGGGGGAGAAGACTGGTTTTTTATTTTGGTGATTGTTTTCTGTTTTCAATTTTTTTTGTTCTTTTTTGATGTTTTCTGGGATAGAAAGATACATATAAACGAAAAGTCTTTTAATGTTGATGCCCCATGGGATGGCCGACTCGTCATCATACCTGATGTCTATGCAATGGAATCGAATGGAATCGAGACAAAACGGTATGTTCCAAGGAAAAAGAGTGCCGGTCCCTCCTAAAAAATACTTCGATGGGCGAAAGAAAACGAGTGAAAAAAGCGACCGAATTATGGCATCGTAAGAACTTGGGCATGGTGGAGATTTCGAACTTTGATAGATGGGCCACGATCGTCTCGGAGGGTGACCACAGGAGTGATGACCAGCTTCAGTCGGGTTTGAGAAATTTGGAGCTGCATAGGAGTAACGTCCGTTCTGTCGCGAGCAATCATTGTAGCAGCGAGAAATTTGCCCGCCGTGAGTGGAAAGATTACTTGAAAGGTCAAGTGAGATAACCTCATCTTGAGATTCAAGCTCCATGCATGCAAAACAATCTTTCCCAATTCGTTGCCGGCGTCTACTCTATGTGTGCCCTTGTTAAGCAACATACCCAGATAGTCGCGTAGCCTAGCGCAATGATGGTCCTTGGTTACCTTGGCCCAATGGTCAAAGTTGTCTGCGCCGATAATTTGTTCAACAGCACCAACTTCTCGGTCGATGTGCTGTTGACGAGATGCGGTACTGAGTCCTAATAAATCTTTAGTTCCTGGATTTCACTTGATTTACAAGCTTGCAAGACTTACCTCTTTGTGCTAGGCTCTCCTTGATATTCTTAAAAATTTGGTCGGTCTCAAGCGAGAAGCCAAGCCAAGTCTTGACAGTCAGCATCTCCTCGAAAAGATAGTTGAGAATGAGCCGCATCACAAAATAACTGCGCGATTCCTTGGACTCAATCAAGAGCTTTGTATGATTGTGAGCGTCTTGTGTTTGATTTGGGTATGTTAAATCCATCATATAAGCCCATAAGTGCTGCTTTGTTGGAGGAATGGTTTGGTCGACTTCGGGATTTGGGACGGAACAATAATCATTAACGTATCGCTCAACTAGTCGGTACAAGAGATCGAACTCTTCTCCAAATTTGTGAGACTCTGGTGTGGGTTTAAGAACCATTGCCATGTTGGAATTATTACTGGGTCCAGCCTGGCCGGGTGTCGCCGTAGAATGTTGAATATGTTGGTGACGATTCCTCAAACTGGCAGGCTCGGTTGGGATCTCCATCAATGGAGGTTGAGTAGATGGAGCTTGGGTAGATGGCTTTAACGGGCTTGTAACATTTGGTGGTAAAGCAAGGACGTTTGGGTTGAGAATCGAGGGGGGAATGTCACCTGCGTGGGTCGTAATTCTGTATTCTCTAGGCGAGACGAATGGGTCCGAGTTCCTGGGGGCGAAAGGGCTTGTATTTTCTGGAAGAGCAGCCCGTTGAGGAAAATTGATTTTGGTACTAGCCTGTAGAACGGCAACTTGTTGCGTCAATCGTTGGTTTTCAATGCGAATATTCTTTTCTGCCGTTTGATGCGCCTGCGATTGAGTCAATGCAATTGTCTCCCGCTGGATTGAGTCGTCTCGCTCCTTCATCAGGTCGTCGCACTTCTTCAAAAGATCTTGTAATTGAGATCTTGTTGCGGCGGCAGCGCCGTCTTTCTCCTCAAGCTGTCGCTGCAACCGGCGACTCATAGCTGCGTAGTCTCTTCTAAACAAACCCGAACGCTCTAGAAAGCGGGGTTGCTCACTGGGTGCCATACTAGGGTTATGGTGAACCGCTCGGTCGTGGGAGCTGATATACTCCCAAACCAGGCTATCTAGTATGGAGAGGCTCGTCTGCTGCAAAGTAAGTCAGAATTGCAAAGTGGTGAGGGGGAAAGAGGTCAGCAGAGGTCCATTCCTTACCTCGTTGATCTGCAGCCCAGAGAGTGTTTGCGCCAATGGCGCGCCGCTTCCAAAGCTGTTACCTGATATAATTGTGCTCGATGAGCCCATTCCGCGGCCGTGGCCATGCGTGTGCGATGGTCGGCTGTTGTCAATTGGTCCGAATCCATTGAATGAGCCGAAGCTCACGTTACGGCTGCCACCGCGATTCATGGCGTCGAGGTGTTTTTGGAATTCCGCTGGTGTTGTGCGGAGAGGTTGGAGCGGTTGTTCGCGATCTGGAACGGGGGTCGCAGAGGCACCCCGTCCTCGGCTGTTGGTGAAGGCCGCCTTCACCAGACCAGATACCTGGTCCGGCTCTCCTTGCTCCGACATGCTCTCCTCCCAGTCAACACTGGCTGGTTCCCTCACTCTACGATCCGCTCCGGTAATCGCCCGACTCCACGACAGGATGTTGGTACTCGAAGCAGCCCTACGCACCGTTCTTGGAGAACGGATTGTGTACAGAAGAAGATTCGACCGTGCTGGTCGAAGTGTCCTGGCCAGGGACTCAAGTGCTGGGACTTGGGATCTGGTAAATACTGCAGTCCGTCAGAGGCTGAGTTAGAGATGTCTTGATCAAAGATGCTCCGCTATGGTTGCAGAGGTTCTTAGGGTGAGAGGTATTCGATGACTCAAGTACAGCTGAAATCGAAGAATTGCATGCCGTCAAGATTAAATCGCAATGCTCAAGGGTGCGATGAAGATGGATGATGTTGATAAGACTGAAACTGCAAAGGCAGGTACAGTTTATGTATTATATGCTAGATGTGAGGTGCAAAGGTATTAGGGCAGAGGAAGGGGAGTGGGATAGAATGATAGTTGCAGGTTGAAAGAGGGAAAGGGAAAGAAAGAAGAAGTTGTGGTTTGGAATCCACTTAAGTACTTCTTCTTCCCGGTGGCTCTTGGCAGAAAGTTGAGTCCCTTCAGCTCCTTACCCTATTGGGACGAAAAGAAAAGTACTTACACAACTCTGGGCGGGAGGTCGGTGTAGCTGTGACCGATTAGATATTGTAATTGGGGTTGTAGATAGATAGTTGTGTCTTTTTACCTGACGCTACCTAAATACAAGTTAGCATTATTTTGATTCACCAAAACACAAGGTGGTTAGGAAGTTTTTGGCGTCTTGAAATTTGTAATCTGGAAAAGTGAATATACATAATGCATATAATGAAAGGTATTCCTCTTGTCCCTTTCACACCAAAAGGAAATGAGTGTTGCACAGTGCAATTTCTGGCTATTTCCAACTGTGTATGGGATGATTACCATGGAGTAGAATGCTCAAACAGGGGCTAAAACAGGCACGCATTGATTGGGAGTACTGATCAAAAGCATAGCCAAAGAGACGCAAGTTCAATGGAAGAGGACCACTTCAAAAGCGCAAATGGGCAAAGATATGATGTCAAGCCTGTACAAGAGGAAGAAGCAGGATCTTGAAAGAGGTTCAGCAAAGAGGTAATTTCATAGACAATTATGACTACGTCCATCAAAGAATAACACAAAACCTTCAAGTGATTGGTGAAGGTTAGCTACTCAGCCCCCATCAGACCATCCAACCAGAAACACCTCAATCGAGTTCTCTTTCTTTTAGATACATGAACACTGTTCAGCAAAGGAAAGTCATCCGTAGATAATACTATGTCCTCTTGTCGTAATCAAGGTCGTTATAAATCCAGCATGTCATGGAAGACCCAGAAAGAAAGATGAGTAAAGAGAATTGCAGAGAGGCAGGAAATCAAAAGGAAATCAAGTGAAATTATCAAAAGGAGTGCTGTTGTATATGTGGAAGCTGCGTTGCACTGAAGATGGAATGCAAAGAAAGTAATGTGGAAGGAAATCAAAAGACTGTGGCTGACTAACTCTAAGCTGCAACGCATCTGCAACAAGATGCTTTGGAACTTCCTTTGACAACGAGATAATATGTGGAGAAATGTAGAGAAACGAAGGAATATAAGAAGATATAGAAGTACTTGACGAAACCCAAATGCATCGAAGAGGAGGAGAATCACGTGAGCAAATGACAAGAAACAATGGAAAGTTGACTTACTCCTTCCTCCGCAGCCCGAAGCTGCTGGAAAAAAACATCGATCTCCGAGAGACCGAACCCGTCAAAGACTGCGAGAATGAAGTTAGTATATGCCCTTTATAGAGATTGAAAATGATAAGCTTAGCGAGGCTTCTTTTGCTTCGCCTAAAAGCGATGCCTGGCGGGGGGGCAGGGTTGTAATTGGACGAAGGATTGTGTGGCCAATACAACTCTAATACCTTCTTGGATAGATGGCAGCTATGCCAGTATCCAATGAAGGTAAAGCATTGTTGGGTGGGGTTGTGGAGGTGCTCAGTGTGGAGAAGTGGCATGAAAAGGAGGACTGTGGAACGTTTGCGATGCAGCCGGAAGGGAAATGGTGGGAGGAGGAGGATTTAATTCAACTCATCTGAGAGGCACTGCGAAGCAGAATAAATAGAGACCGCCATATTCTCAGTGGCGTAAGAGTGGCGAGGCAGGGAGCTTCAGTCTCCGATGCCGTGAGGCTCTCGCCAGGGGGTAGTCAAACCAGTGGATCCTTGAATTGGTGTAGGAGGAGAATCTAGGACATACCGGGCGATGAGGAGAGGAATTGGTCCGAAGACCCAAATTGCCTGCGAAGAGAAGACGGTTAGCTTGACGCTCAGCGCGGGGAGTAGTAGCGAGGATATTGGGGAGAGGGAAGGAGGGTTGCGAGTTGTAGCACCCAGAAAGCCTGACTGGATGCGATTCAAGCACTGGCTCGCGATCAGGGTGTTTTCAAGGCGCAATACGATCTTGGGACGATGCCTGGTGTTGGAAGAGCCGAGGAGATGATTGCGAGGCAGATGGGGATGGGATACATACGCCATGGTGGTGGTGCAGGTGGAGGTGGTGGAGGTGGAAGAGATAGAGGAGATGATGCTTGAAGAGGAGAGGGATTTCAGCGGTGGTTAGAGTTTTTCAAATGGCGCGATCTGTGTGCCTTGCTTAGTCGACAAGAACCGCAAGCGTCTGATTGGAACGCCTCAACAGCTCAACAAATTCAATTAAAGCAGCCTGAACAAAGCTCCAGCAGCTCAAAACTCTGCTCATATACATTCTCAATTAACTATTCTATCAATTGAACGTCGTATGTATGCGATCTTGATCTGCTCTAGGCGTGCGAACCGTGCCTGCACACCTCTCAATAACTCCTGCGCAAGACATTCAATCAATTGAGTGCTTGTAACAGGATAAACAGCAGATTTTGAAACTTGTTTCAATTGATTGCTGCTTTATCTTGACCTTTTCAGAATGCTTGTGGAGGTAGGGGCAGTCCCTACTTTTCAGCTTCTAGTAGAACATTCCGGAATTCTACGATAAGGACCCCTGAAAGATAGAAAGTACAAAGACCACAGTGACTATAAGATGTCTACCTATCTATCTAAAGGACGATTAACACAAAATTGAGCTTTTCACATTATTGTAGTAGAAATATTAAGGTGATTGTATTCAAATGTCGTTGTTGACAATCGGATAATTAACTACTTTGGGACAGATCAAGGCGGTGAGTAACCGACCCCCTTAAAATCAACTACCCCAGCCACCCTAGCCAAACACATGCACATGACCTGAACTCTGACAGAAGACTATTGTTATCCTCAATTCTTTGATTTAGGGAAACGTAAATACACTATAATATGTATAATAAACTGATTTGTAGCTGTGCATTATACTAGTTAGAAATTACGACGTAATGTCACGTTTCCAGGAGGTGAATATGCTTGATCACGTGAGTTTTTAGATAGAATATAAAATAAAATAAAAGATAATTAATCGCAAGTTAGCTAAAACCACTTACTTTTGTTATTTGATTACTGAAAATCTATTATAGAAGACCTCTTTTAAGCGTTTATCCTAGAAATAATAAAGTAACATTTTAGTTATATTCTTAAATAACTTATTAAAGATTATTATATTCTATCTTTATAGCAAAGGTTTCTTATAAATTATTCCGCTAATCTTTTATAATATTCGCGTAAGTAATATATATTCTTTTAATTTCTAAAATAAAATAATAAAACCTTATTATTAAAAATCTTTATAAGTTAAGTTTTATTTATAATCTAAAAGCTAATTTTCTAAATATTAGCGTAAGAAACCGAAATATTTTATAGTTCGTAATCTATAAATTATAATAGCTTTTAATAATAGTTTCTAGAATATTACTTTAATATATAAATTAATATATTTATTCGAATTAATTATATTAATAGTTTTATTTTATATAATTTCTTAGTCTAAGTAATATATTATTATTAAACAAAAGTTTAAGAAGTGTTAAGCTCGTATATAAATTAGAGCTTTTATTATTATATTTTATCTAAAAAGCTCTAGTTTTTTTAATTTATAATTCTAGAAAGTATATATAATTTAGAAATTAAGATTTCTATTTTGAAGCTTCGCGTAAACAACTTAAGTCTATATAATTATTTAATCTTAATAGTAGAAGGCTATTCTACGGAGTCTTCTATTACTATCGGGGACCTAGAATTATAGGTACTATCTATACTATAGTAGAAAGCTAGGTATATTCTATTAGAAACCATGATTAATCACCTATCTAAGACTCCTAAAACTTTCTTAATCTATGGAATTATATGTTTAAAGACCCTATGTGGCAGTAAATACATTAAAAAGTAGAACTACTACAATGCTACAGGGTAACAGGAAGAATTTCCAAGTTGCCAGTGCGAAAACAAAGGTGTGGTTTAACACACAAGACGAGTGTTCTGTTTACGACCTTCGGAAACATTGATTGGAGTTTCTCTTCTATTTTCCTCAATGGTCATGGCCTACCGGATGGGGCGACCGAGAGCGGCGTTTCGTTGCGGACCTGTTGTGCGATGGCAAATACGACACGGTCAAGGACTCGGACAAAGGTATGTTTTTTACACTTCTGAATCGAATCCATAGATCTACTTGATCTAACAACTATCGTAGTTGACGACGATGAAACCCCATCTTCGAAAGACGAAAAACGTCGACTACAACCAAGCCCGACCCAACCGACGAAGCCGCCCTGGGTGCTGCCCTCAGATTTTTTAAGGTGGCAGGACAACCATTGCCCAAGCCAACGAAGGTCACTAAACGTAAGCGACTGTCTCGTGGAGGAAACGTACGTCATGGGTCCTTTGGCGGCGAGGTCCAGGTTACGAAAGATAAGTCGAGAGCCGAGATCCAAAAGATCGAAATGACACGGACATTGGACTATTGACAGATCCGGCAGATCTTGCACAACGAATTCGGTTGGATATAATGATCAATTTCATCTGCAAGACGGCCTTAGAGTCTTGTGGTAGAATTGCGTTCCAGTCGGACTGAGATGACTTGTAAATGGCTACAAGGCAGAGCTCGCAAAAAAGTCAAGAAACGAACTTCGTACCTCTGGTGGGGAGCAAGAGTCTGGGGTAAAGGTAGGGTACATCGGAGATTCTGTACAGTAGTAGTAAGGATAAGACGTTGGCGATGCGCGTCTAGTAGTCAATGGCCTTTTGGACAAGTCAAATACTATAGTTGCCCCACCTTTATTTACTAGCCAATCAAGAATCTTGTTCAATCGCTCGTGTGGAAAATTACCCTTTACAATATCTTTTAGTATCAATCACCATCAAATACTGGACTCGGGTCTCCTAAGCCCGAAGACGAAAGGCTCTAGTTAAATAAGTTCGGTTCCCGCGACAGGAGAGCATGAAAAAATCCACGTGTATCACTCACATGAAAAGTCTTGGATTTTAGCGAACGAACCCGGCAGCTGCGACGTGGTAGCAACTGTGGAGCGAGGAGCAATTCTGTGTTCAAGTTAATCAATAGCAAAGGCTTCCGGTGATAGCACGGGTCCATCAATATGTAGACACGGCTGTAAACAAATGTTAACTAAAATAGTACAAAAAGTATATATATAATCTTTTACGTCGTTTCTGCACCTTCACATAATCTCCTGGAAGGGAGACAAGACTGAGAAACGGGGAGAGAGAGAGGGAGGGCCTTAATAGCCGGGCCCCTAGTTTCGTGACTATATTACAGAATACAATATTAGCGATAGCCACCGTGATAGCTTATTTGCTGGTTTCGCAAGCGCTTCTGCTATAGCAGGAAAGGAATGCTTCCGATAAGCAGGTAAGATGGAGGTCTCGGCTCTTTGCGTCTGCTGCGCAAGAAATACCTGGACGAAAGTATACTATCATAGTGTTCTCGGATTACGGACATCGTAAGATTAAGCAATCCAGACACGAAGTATTTGTGAATCAACATTGCAAATCTCCACCTGGGTCATGCAGAACTCCCAACAACTGTGCATCCTGTACTAAAGATTCGGTATTGTAAGATTATCCCAAGAGGTTGAATATTTGATGGCATACCATCTTAGTACCAGTGGCTGAAGTTACCATGCCAGATTTCGAACTCAAATATATCTAAGAGAGATCCTACAGAGTTTGTTTTCACTTCGGTTTTGAGGTCTTCAGATTGTCTTCTCGGAAGAGGTTCAACCCCACTTAGACTATCCACTTCTTCGAAGTTGTCGACTACATGGAAGTAATTTCAGTGACTTGTAGTGCTTTGATCTACTCAGAAAGTGCTTGACACAAATTCAATTCGTGTAGCTCCATCTGGGAATGTGAAGATATAGACTCGTAAGATTACAGAGGAGCAAATACACCATGCCAGAATATCGATCCCTTTCACGGCACACAAAGATACATTCAGCATAATACTCCCAGTGTTTATGAAAGCAGCAGTAGCATTAAATTGAAGAAGGTCCCCTATCTGCAGGTTTCAAAGAGTAATGTTCTTGATTATTGAGATTTCCCTCAGCTTTTCTATGACCTCAACACACGAGTTTTGCCATGCAAAGTCTTTTTCAGGCAACGCAGGCGACTTCTTTCTTCGCCTTATTCTACATTTGCGCATTAAGTAATTTCTTTGCTCCACCTCAGCTATAGAACCGCCATTTCTTTATTCAAGTGATCGTCTAAATTATCAATTTGATAGACCTAGCAGATTTTAGGTGCTCAGAAAATGAGGGCCACCAAGTAGAATGGTGTACTTCTATCTGGTGGCCTTTCAAAATTACACTTATTGCTATTCAAATATCATTGAAACGGCAAAGGACAATGCAATACCGAGCACGCATTAGAAAGATGCACTCCACGCACCCCGAACCTTAAAAATATACTCTAAGCACGTTTTGCATGTTCCTTGCCAAGAATCCTTCGCCAGGCAAAGATTCGAACATCGCTATTGATGAAATTCACGGATGCATAAACCTTTCCACTGGTTCGTAATTTGTCAGATTCACCACGGAGAGCTGAATCACTTTCTCCCCGTCTGGGGCCTTAATCGCATCCATCAAATCAACCACTACTTGAATCTGTGTTCTGGGCTAATTCTCGCCGGGGTCCCTCGAACGGCCTTGTGTAAAGAAACTTCAGAGGAGTGATTCTGACCTGCCATCCGAACTTTTACACAACATGTTCGCAAACCTTGGGAGATGAGAAATCCCATTGCATGCGGAAAAGCTTCAGAGTGATTTAGGTATTTTGTGAAGGGGGTAAAGAGGGTCACCTATACTTCGATCGGACATTGGTCGCAATTTACACGCCGTCATGTGGAAGTTTGCTGGATGCTCCGAAGAGGCCGCCCCGAGAAGTGGAATCTTGTGTGACTATTATCCGACGATCGGTAGACAGTTGGGAATATGAACGTGCTTCTTTTGCTGGTTGGTTTAATCCAAATTGAGATGAAATTTTGGGAGGACAGGCATGTGTCCGGGCTTGGCGTATGTGGACGAGGACGACTTCGGGTTTTCGTTCCATGTTATTTGTATTGCGAACGCTAGGTTTGGTCTTTTGCGGGGGAACGGTAGCTGCAAAAATTGTACTTGTTGTGGCTGGTATAGTAAAAGAGGACGGGGTTGACGGAGTGCTAGTATTCAATCGCTCTTCATTGCGGTTGAAGATAGTCTGAACAATTCTTTGGCACTAAGGTGATGGTGCACGTGAAGAAACGCAGTCATTTGGCTTTGGGGGCATTACCTGCCGGCTTCTTCTCATTTTCGATCATTGCGCAGGCGGAAGTTTGATTCATTGACATCTGTAGGTTGACTTGAATTGATACTGTGCTAGCTTGTGCTATGGATTCAGGCTGCATACGAGTATCGATTATGTATTATATTCCTACAACGTCAATAAACGATGAAAACAGTAATTTTGATACCCAGTTATTTATATCCAAGAACGTATTCATTCGATGAAATATATAATAAGGGACATATCCAGTATCTTTAAAAGTAATAGGCCAGCATAATGAATTAGGGTAGGGTTCTAGGCTACTATTTATAGACTATAACAAATAGGTAAAGGAATAATCTGTTGATGAGGACGCGGCTTAATCTCGGTCACATGGCCCAGACACTACTGGCAGTTGTTCATAGGCCGAAGTAAGCGAGTCTGTGGCATCCCAAGTGGGAGTGCCTTGCTGGCCCAGTGGTCACGGCGTCGTATATATATAAATATTCCCATCAGAGATGGTCAGACGTTAAAGCGTACCCGGTTAAAGCGTACCCGTCTAGTTGTGGACAGTAAACTTCCGCCCAGCACTGCGAAATGTGTTACCCATAGCCCTGTAGTGTACGAGGAACCTTAGGAATTTGCCCGCCTAACTTGGAGCCTCGTAATGCGGGATGGGGGGAGACTTACCGATCTGCGATGAAGTATTAGTGGCTCAATGACTAGCAGGTCGCGGACTCCTTTCTGCTGTTTTTTGCAGAGGGGTTTAGTTTTCTTTTTAAACTGGTGTTTAGAGTTGTAATCAGTAGGGATAGTCTTTTCGTGGGCTTTTTTTTTATCTCATTTTTGTATTGACGCATTGGCCGTTATAGTTTCGTGTGCAATACTACTTTTGAGGGTAGTGAATAAAGGCACGCTCCTGATGACGCGTCGAGGTCGGCAGCACATTGGTCTTCTTTACCTCTATCAACAAGAAATTCGTAGAAAAGACGTGGTATTATTGAGATATCTAATTATCCTGCTTCTCTGGTTACATGAAGTGCTTCGCCTTTTCACTCTGTATGTAATTACCTTTCCATGAAGGACAGCCACCGAACTTTTGAGCACCAACCCTGGACATCGACTAGCAAGTTCAACATCGTCCTTTACCCACATTTCCACCTCAATACCACCACTCGCACAATTGAGACGTCATTCGCTCGTATTCTTGCCTTGCCTGAAGCTTTTCGGCGTTTTGCGCTACCATAGTGAGAACACTATCTACGTCAAAAGATGGAAGCAGTGAGACTGAGCATACCCCCTTCATGCTCTCCTCACTCTTCGCCACTGAATACGTTGGGCTGGAGGTGAGTACTCGACCGCGCCACAGCAGCTGGCAAATGGCGTGGTTCTCGGAATATCGGCGCGCAGGAGTCTTCATGTTAGTATAGGTGGTGGCAAGCTTGCATCAGAAGTGCTTTGCAACAATCAGGTCCTTTATATAGCGTTTGACCATACGATGAGAGACCTCGCCGCAGTGCGTTCCATCACTGACGCATTCTTCGCACAAGTCAAAGTCACCCTCTTTGCAAATCCTCCAGTGATAGAAATGGTCATCAGAGATTGGTTTGTCGCAGCAATTACATTGGATGTAGAAATATCCTGCAGGGCTCTTTGGTCGGAACGACTTTATTGGGTTGGGAAACGGTGGACTCTGGGGTTGTTCTGGAGGAGTCTGTGGTAAGTGTTGGGTAAAATCGTTGGGAACGGTTGTGTTTTAATTTGGTATTCGAGACTGTGAAGTGCAGTGGCGCTTTCGGATACTTTTAGGTCACTTGTATTTTTCCTGTGCGATTGACGGGCTGGAGTGTAGGGTTTCGAGAGGACTAGTTGTGGGCTCTGAGACCCTTCACATTCCATCAGACTTTGGCAACCATTTGAAGACATGTCGTAAACTGTCTCTGCGTAGACCGTGAGATTTTCCAAATATCTCTGGAGCGTGAACCCGGAGGTGTGTTGTCTGCATATATCCTCCCGGAGCAAATTCTCTTGCAGGCGCCCAACCTCAGCCAGAATTTGGGTGATGTCGTCCTTGATTGCCGGTAGCACAGATGTACGATTCCGTATATCGTGAGTCTCGGCTCTGATATCTTTGATCATAACCCTAGCATTGATGTCAGTACTCGTTGGACACAGCTATAAGAAGATTCTACATTGAAACAAAATCCAATGCTATTTCCAGAGCAGACTTATGAGCTTCCAAATTTGATCGCAACCTCAAGATATAATCCTTCCCTACGGTTGACCTCACAGCCCTTTTAAAACCATTACCTTCATGTTTGCAGAGTGTCGTCTCGATATCGGTAACTACAACAGGGCAGTTTCTCAAAATCTTCAAGATTTGTGTCTGGGGGGTTCCCGAGCAATTTTTGTTTACTATTCGCCTTTGAAATCATCTGCGAGAAACTCCGGTACTGTTCTGAGTGATAAGAGCTCCAGGGAGATGCCGTCTAGCTCGCTTCCGGCCGCCTGCGGCCGCCTGAACATCGCGTATAAAGCCACTTTGTAGGTCAGATGTCTTTGCGATGGCTCCAACTAGAGCAATACACGTTACTGCCACAGAGAATCTGCCTATCTTGAACCGAGTATCACTTGTTAGGGTTCGATACATTCTGGTACTCGCATCCTCACATTCCCTTGTGTTTCTTAGTACAATTTCAGAAAACAAAGTCAAGTCTGAGCCAATATTTTACTTAGCAACTGGACGGCGACGGCAATCTGAAGGAATTTGTTGTTATTTTGAATAGTTTCGAGGAGAGGCGGCCCGTTGGCTTGGGGCCTTGGGCGACGCATTTTATCGTTATTCTTGCATACTGTACATACTAGGATGCGGGGTTGTTTTGCCGAGTGGCCCCTTAGAAAGGCAGATTTGCGGAATAATTACATGATTGAATGCTGTATATTCAAAGCCACTCGTTAATAAGAAATGGTTCTTTCCAAAATGAGAATCGTGGAAAAGTGAAGGGAGTACCATTGAATGATCCTATGTATTACGCTTTCACCAATGCATTCCTCTTCTCCCAGTGCAACCTTGAGAGATCTTCTGGCTAGCGTAAAATAAAACAAGAACACGTCTTCTCTGACTTTCGTTGGGGTAATCCTACTATAGAAGTATTGCTCACAATTTCATTCTTATGTGGAAATACCTTAAGTTGTGAGCTGGTAAATCACGTGATAGTCTGGGGCGTGCCTCCTTACTGGAAAAGGCTGGTCCAAGTACAGTCTCTACAGATACTTAAAAGACATCCTAATTTAAATCGGGGCGCGCGAGCACAGACGCCTGCGGCTGCTCGTACAATTGACGACGCCTAATTATAACAACAAATATTCGACTTTTCGACTTTAGTAAGAAACTATTTAGATTAGCGATATAAACTATATTTTTAATAGCTAAATAGAGTATTTCGATCAAAAGAATAAGATTGCGCTTACTAAAGTTTTTATATAAGCCTTAGTTAAGGATAAAGGTATATAGGGGTTAGAAAAAATTAAATAAAAATTAGTGTCACGAATCACGTAAGCATGTGACAAGTGAAGACCAGGCAGCGTCCTGACAGGTCGAGCACTATCATATCTCTTATAGCAAATAGTAGTCTTCTTCTTATCATAGCATACCAACCAGCGAACACCCAGCCAAGTTTAGTTAGCCAGTTTGAGTATTCGTTACAATCAGGCGCATACATAGCTATCGAAGTAGTCGCCCTAATAGACAAGCTACAGAACCATGGAATCCAGGTCGAGATAAGATGGATCCCGGCCCATATAGGCATATGGGGCAATGAAGCAGCAGACAAGGCGGCCAAAATTGCAGCAAAATCTCAATTAGAGGAGAATCAGGGAAACCCAAACGTCGTCCAGCCCAAGACATACCACCTGCAAGCAACCCTAAAGACGTGGATTATGAGGCAGACAAGAGCTGAATGGGCATACAAGTGGGACCTGGAACCAAGTGGGAGAACCACATACAAATACACTCAGAAGCCGACACACAAGATCCTGCATCTCCATCGGAGGCTAAAGAAATGGCAAAGCTCTCTATTGATCCAGATGCGCACAGAAAAGATAGGACTAAGAGACTTCCTCTGGAAGAGGAACGTACCCGGATATGATGATCCAGGATGTGAATGTGGAGAGGGACGACAAACTGTAGGACATATTGTATTACGATGTCGAAAATTCAAAGACCTACGACAGAGGGAAGTTGGAGGGAGGAGGTGGTTAGACCTGAAGGCAATCTTGAAAGAGTCAAAAACAGCCACAAAGGTAATAAGATTTATGGAACAGACGCAACTCCTTGGGCAATTTAGGAGTTGTAGTACAGTACAAAGAGACGAAGTGGAACGCTGGGGGGAGACTGAAGGTATTAGGACATGAGATGGCTAGCAGAAGCGGCAGCCAAGGAACCTGATATATGTCAAAAGATCAAGTAAAGCACTTCTTTTACGCTATGTATATAGTTGTAGATAGAAGCCAGACCGCCCAGGGGAGGAGGCTGCTGGTCACTGTATAGTGATGAAGTGAAGTGCGCTTACCAAATGCTGTAAGCTTACTTCGGCAGCTGCGCCGAAGCTGGACCACTCCGGCATAGCCGCCCTACGGCGGGCGGCTGGAACCGAGTATGAATAAATCAAATCAAATCTACTAACTCGTTTCTTATTATTAAGACCTAAGACTCTTAGACTAAGAATACTTAAAAGATAGTTAATTAAATTTAATCCTCGCGTAGTAGTTAAACCTTTTTTAGCGCTTAGGTAATAGCTAAGCTTTTTAACTATTAAAAAGATATAAGCTCTTAAGCGAGCTTAGCGCTTAAGCACTAATTAGCTATTAACCCCCTTGGATCTTAGTAATCCCTTAATAGTTAAGGGCCTTTTAGCCTTACAGGAGACTGCACGGTAGTCGGCAGTCGGGGAAACTCTATAACACTACGTCACAGCTTACAGGGGTACTTTTTGTACTCGCTATCGCGCGCATACGATATACACCAACGCAACGAAATTTTAGGTTACAGATTCGATCGATTCAGCCAAAATTGATGTGCGCATCGTACACTTAGTTCTTGCATCAAGTGGTGATAGTAGTGCACACAGTAGTACGCACCCTCGGGCACCCTTGTCATTAAGCGCCGGGGCTCGGGTGCTTCTTGGAGGTACGCTAGGGCCTCTTGAGGCCACGTGTTTTTGACTCTCAAATCGGTGGCCTGAGGCTCAAGAAAAAAAATAAACTCTCAACTAAGACTTGACTCTCAAAAGGCCTTAGCTCTTAAACGCGCACGTGATTATCTCTCTAGTATTCTTGCCACCCCTATTATCAACCTATTTTAACCCTCGTCTAACCATCTGTAAAGACTGCACTTGAACCACCTTTTCCCTGTAAGGCTGGCTTCATACATCACGAATACATGAATGAACCTTCTTATTGCTTTACTGCTCACTTTTCCTTGCTACTTATTGGCACACTTTATGCCTTTATATTGTCCTACCAAGTCATACCAACATATATGATCGATTTAAACATGAGTGACGACTACAACTCTGAGGTGTGTTGCTGTGCGATATTGAAAGATACTCAAAGATTTTCTTTCATATTAGGCATTGCTAATGATAAAGTTATATGACAGAATACCGCAATGTCATTTGTCGACATTAATTTGGCCAATGTATTTTATATGGCACAAGGTTTACCGAACCTTTGTGGCCTTCGCCTAAAAATTATACGTGAGATAAATGAAAAGCGTTTATTCTATTGATCCTCGGCACGAAGGATTGAACTGTATCTCTGTTTTATAAGTGACATATGACGTACTTCTGACTCTTATACGAGCGCTCGTATTCAGTTGGTGACTATATATGAAGTTAGAGATTAGCACGTGGCGTTTGGGCATTGGAATTTCGAATAGCAACATATCTTATTTTGATAAGTAATCTAACCCTTTAGTTGGACAGCACAAAAAGCTTCTGACGGTAATATTGTAGATCAAGAACCCTCACTGAAGGTTTTATGGTTTAGAAGCCCAGGAATTATGGCTGTAATGTTAATTTCCATGCCAGTTTAGCGTACAGTTCGCACTCGACTGTTGAGGAGACCTAAGAACATAGAGTAGAAGCAATCAATCGTACTCTGCCGTTTAAGTCAATTTAAAAAACAAATATATATACCAAAAATCCCCATCGTCGTATCACTGAGTTGAATTAAACGAACACCGATCTCAAAAACGCAACGCATATAGAAATGAGACAGATTATGTTTGGTGCTTGACCACATATTGAACCTGTCAACCTCAAATAAACATTGGAAGAATATATTACGAAAATTGATCTCGTCGGCAATGACTTCGCGACCTTCGCCAAACAAAGCGCCAAAACGGACCGAAATCTGAGCATTACAGTAGAAATCCTTACGTTCATCAATTGGAAGTGTATTTCGAGACTTGTTTACTTTATTCTATTACTTTTCGTTTCGGGATAACTATAACGGGGAGAGCGCTTCTATTCGTAATGTAAGGTACGGATCTTAGATACTCTAAAACGACGCTAATGATGGGGTAAATTAGGTGAATAGTAAACTTTGTCAACTATCTTTGTTTGCATGCACTACTCTCTCTATGAATATATTGATTATACCTGCATAGTGGAAGTATTACGGAGGGTAACTTCCAGTATTCGTAGTAGAATAATAGAAACTACACGATACTTGACTAGGACCAACAGAATAACGTGGTGAGGGGTCAAAATATTCGATAAAGGACCGACTGTTCGCTTGTTTTACGGTATCCAACCCAACCTATATTTGGAAAGGAAATTCCGCAAGGAATCCCTGTAAGCGACTACGCACCAGTCCGACGTCAAGATGGGCTTCTCTAGATTCACACAGCGTTGTAACTGCAGGCACCCTCCACGCTCATCGGTCAATAAAATAATCGCTTGCTGGATTCTTCTTAAGATGCTACCTCACAACCCACTGGACAACTGTCAATATATACTCGAACAAATCCCAAAGCGCTTTCAGGCCTCCCAATATGTCAGAGTTGGATATTGTTGTTATTGGTGCTGGTACTACTCTCAATTATCTTTTGTTGCTATGATTGCTAATACTGTAAGGACAGGCATGAGCGGATTAGCGTTTACAAGGTGCTACTTGGACATTCACCCGCAAACCAAAATTGTCATTCTTGAAGCAGATGATTGTTTAGGTGGTGTCTGGAGCTCGGCTCGAAACTACGATGAACTCTGGTCGCAAAGCGGTGAAAGAATGGCTGGATTCTCTGACGTTCCTCTCCAGGTTCCATCAGATGCACCGCGATTTTACGATACATTTGAAGCCAAATATATCACTCAGTATTTCGAGGACTATGCTGATAATCACATTTACAATGGAGCAACGTTGCGAAGCAGAATACTCTTTGGACACAAAGTACAGAAATCTGAGAAGATTGATGAAAAATGGATAATCCATGCCGAGGATGCAAATCAATCACAACAATGCTTCAAGTCGCCTAAACTTGTTGTCGCTACTGGTCATACATCCATTCCAAATATGCCCTCACTACCCAATCAAGAGAAATTCGGTGCGCCAATTCTCCATCACAGAAGCTTTGGAAAGGCTTCCCAGTCGGTTCTTGCAGCTCCGAATTGTAACAATGTTACTATTCTCGGCGGTGGAAAATCGGCTATTGACATGGTTTACCAATCAATAAAGAAAGGTAAAAATGTCAGTTGGGTCATTCGCAACAGTGGCGAAGGCCCAGCTTTACTCTTTCCTGCCCCCGCAACAGGTCGATACAAAAACTCTGTGGAGAGTGGGGCCACTAGGTACAAACAGTCCTTCAGCCCCTCCTCGTTCATGCCGAATTTCTGCTTGTTGAGGTGGTTTCATCAAAGTCAATATGGAATGAAATATATGGAAAAAAGGGTACAACATAACGATGAATATTGCCGCGCCCCCGCGAAGTATCATACGAGGAAAGGCGCATTGCCAGGTTTTGAATTACTCGATTTCACAACATCGTAAGTCACACTCTGGTTCTCTTCCGACTTGTTCGCTTCAAACATGGGGTTGTGTTGGTTCCGTTGTTGGAGCTCGGAAGACCTTCCTTTTGAAGCTGCCGTCCTCTCCTCCTACCGTTTGCATTATTTCGCATATTAATCGTCTGCAGTGGGTTTTGGGTCACCGGCCCTTTGGGTCTGGCACAACATGAGGATTTCTGGGACCTGATAGCTCAGAATGCCCATGTATATCGATCTGGTATTAAATCAATGGACGCCGGGATTATCGTTCTTGAGGACGGTACCGAAATTCGTTCAGATGCCTTACTTTGTGGTACTGGCTGGAAGTCAAACTATCCTTTCTTCTCTTCGGCTCAAGTTGCGGCATTGGGTCTGCCTCAACCTCTGGAAGGCACAGATCAGGAGTCGGAAACTTGGAAAAACCTTCTGGAAACCGCAGACCGTAAGGTATTGGCAAACTTTCCGCAACTTGCAAACCCTCCTCCATTTCGCGAACGAGCTCCTACCACCACTGCGAAATTGTTCAAAGGAATTGCGCCGCTGGAAGACCATTCCATCGCCTTTCTTGGACACGTCAATATCTCTAACTCTTTCCGGGCTGCTGATGCCCAAGCAATATGGGCCACGGCTTATTTTGATGGCAGTATCAGGTTGCCTCCTTTGGAGGAAATGAAAAAGGAGGTTGCCTATATGAATGCCTTTTCAAAGAGGAGATATCCATCTCAGGGTCAGACAGGCGATTGTCTCATGTTTGAGCTTGTTTGGTATACCGATAATTTGTTAGGCGATGTGGGATTAAAATCACATCGCAAAGGATGGTACTCGGATTGGGTAGAACCATGTCTCGCAGCCGATTTCAAGGATGCGGCAAATGAATATAAAAAGAAGAATGGGTTTTGAGGGATGCTTGTGGGTTGGACGTTGAGAGACTTCCAACTTCCAATTTCAATAAGCTAGAGATACATGTGTCATATTATTCCTAATCCTGTGTCATTTCACTCATCATCACAGCCTGGGCTGGAAGCAAGCCTTGTTCGGGTTCGCTGACTGCATCTCAGCACTAAGACTGAAATAGGAAGAAATCCCAAGGCCATGACGGCCAGTGCAGTGTTCCCCAGCCATAACCCAAATTGTCAAACAATAGAGTGAATTGGGGCTTAATGGTAGTAAGGTGGCACAAATAGACCGTATTTTGTACAGGTTCAATTGGCACATGCAGCATATATGTGAAAGCGCTAACGTGAAACGTTTGACCCTTTTTACTATATGTTGATCAAAAGGCTTCCTGGGCGTGGAATGACAGAGGAGAATCCAACAGTCAATCCACAGTCCTGGGTGATGGGGGGTTGTCTGGTTTTTGTGAGGGTTTTGGTACATCAAATTAACTCATACACTAGAATCTCTCTTCTACCTATGGCTGTGGGATACAAAATGTCCGGCACATAGTCAACAATATCTTATATCTGTATAATAGAGACTGACAAGCTATCCGAAGCTGGGTCCATGCTCCGACATGCCAACGCAAGGATTCTGTGCCGCAGCTATCGAGCAAATGATAAAAGCACGGAAAAACCAACAATCCAACCTGTTGGTTCTCCACTATTACGGATAGCAAACACTCTATTGATGATTCGCAGATAGTATGCTTATGTTGATGCTCGAGCAAGTTATCGTTTCGTTTCATTACATGACAGGGCTTTATCTGGTAGTGGGAAAAATTTGTGATTAATAACGTACGTTGAGAAAAAAGGTATTCCATCAGTACTTTCCTGTATCTGGTACTTGAAAGTGTACTTGAATAGGTTCCATGACAGTAGTGAGGTACAGTACCGGCATTCGGTAATACTACTGTACTTTGTGATGCTGATGTACATCTCTGCTTGGAGGCTACCTTGCCCCGGATTGTTGGCAATAGTACAAGGCGAATATGCATGATTCTCTGAATTTGGCAGGTGGAATCACCGTTGGGGTGTATCTAGCATGTAGATCTTTGATTCCAAACTGTCCAGTCATATGTGACATTGTTACACTTTCTAAGTCCACCAATCACTCGCATGTTATTTTCAACCTCTCTTGAATTGGTATCAATGATAATCACCAGCAACTATGAGTTGCCATAATTCCGTACTTTTCTTCGTCGTCACTATTGAGAACTCCTGCACATCACGCGCTATATCGGACGTAGTAAATGATTTCATTATCAGATGCTTTTTGATGCCTATAGTATGCGAACATTTGCCCAGTGGTTGAGGAAAAGAATCTAACGCGCCGCTTTAGATTTGGGGTTTACACATCAAGACACGCCACAAGCTGGGTGTCGTTTCAATACTCTAGATGAGAGCTGTGTGAGTTATACACAAACCCATTTTCCAGGTAGCATACAGCTTTGAGCTGATAAGACAAAATGGGAAAAAGCATTGCCCACAGAAGCCATTCCCCCTGACCCGATACGAGAATATCTGCTCTCCAAAAATTGGGATCAACCACATCTGCTGGTTCTCGTGGAAGCATTGTACATTCAACCACAACGTGGTACGCTGTGGAGAATGTATTGATCTCAAGAAACCGAGCGCCAGCATGGATTATAATCGGCAATTGTGTTTTCTTTTAAGACAGCTCGAACTCAAGATTGGCTGCCAAAAATCCGCTCTCATTGATCGTTGTTAGGTAGAACATATCTAGGTTGTTTTTGATAATGCAGAATTACGAACTCCAAGAAATCGAAGTTTGAAAGATCAAGGGTATCGTCACTTCAGTATATGATATAATTCATCGTGCAATATTCTTAAACTTCTGATTAAACCTGGGAGTCCGTTGTTATTGTCGTTGTCTACTGGTCGCTACTGCTCACGTGCCCCTCCCTAAACGAAAAAAGCCAAGCTCCGCAATTCAGCCTCCCGAGGTTATTCCGCGCTGATGATGATATCAGACACTCCGTATTGTAGACATCTTCTCCCCTAAACATCCGAACAACAAATCTTCTTCACTACTTTGATATACATATTTCAGAGATGGCGTGGCCATATCCCTGAGGTAGTCTAGTTGCCCACGCTATTTGCCCCATTCAACGAGAGAAACTTGAACAGAGGACGCAATTGCTGGGATACATTTAACACCATTAGTGGCGGACCGACCACTCGAACTAAGGAAGCTGTAAGGACTTGGAGACCAGAACTGTCTCTATTGAAGACTTCAGTGTGCCTGGGCTTGGTACCGGAAAGCAGAATTCATTAGAAATTGCTTGGAAACTGTAGATACTCGGTAAGCATCTGCAACGTAGGATACCCCGCGAGGAGTGCCGTGATGATACCATGTACTGACTATATAGAAGGTTGTTAATACAGCCACTCTCAGAGAACCCTTTCCTGCGAACATACAAACACATACACATGGCTTCTATTGCCCCTCCTCCACCAGAAGTGGAAATCCCACCCACCACAATCACCATCGACAACGAAACCTACCCCATCGTAGAAATATGCAGCACAGGCGACGTCCTCCTCGATGTATCCTTCGAAAACACAAACGCATGCAATAAATCCATACCAGTAGATCTCATCCGCAAGCTGAAAACGTCCAAATCACCCATTCCCTCGCCGAGAATCTTTTACCGAGTGCGGTTGGATACACTGAAGAAGAGCTCGGATTACTTCAAGCATCTTTTGGGACCTTCATTTGCGGAAGGGGCTGCCGTCATTGAGGCATTCGAGAAGCTTTCAAAGTCTGGATTGAACCCTACCGAAATCGATGCGGAGCTTCTGCCTAGGATCGAGATTGTGGATGAGGATGTGGCGACGAAGACGTTGGGTAGGGAAGTCATATTTGGGGACATGTTGCGGATAATACATGGTGCAGTATGTTGGATAGCCGATTTCTTTCCGGGGTAGGGTTGACGAAAGACCTAGGAGCATACCACGAAACCGATTATGTTGAACATCCTAACGGTACTGGTCGTAATGGCAGATCGATATAGTGTTCTATCGTTGGTCTCTCGATATTTCCAAAAGACTTTCAAAGCATACAAATACCCCGCAACCTTGGATAAGAAAGCCGAAGAAATTCTACGCCAAAAGATCCTTGTATTTTACCATACAGAACAATCCCTCAATTTCTGTGCTGCCACGAGGGAGTTGATCCTCAGAGGTTCCTTAAGATGGACGGGTGCAGAGGAAACCACAGGTGATTTTCAAACCGCATGGTGGGACCTCCCAGACGGCCTAGAAGGTAACGCCCATCCAACCCTCCCCGCTCTTCCACCCGCCCAAACTGCGCTAACCCCCTTCCTTAGCCGAACTAGCCCACCGCCGCGCCTGTGTCCTCCGCACCATAGCCTCAATCCAAACCCAATGTCTGACCCTCTACTCCTCCCGAGACCTCCAATGCAAACTCGGCTACGAGTCCTCCCACGCCTGCGACTCCTTCCAACTAGGCGAGATGATAAAATTCCTCACTCGCAAAGGTCTCCTTTCCTTAATCCCCTTTCAAGCCGTAAGTCCAGAAGACGATGAGTATATATGGCCCGAAGCATACTCGGGTGATGCAGAAACCCTAATGGGACTCCTGAGACAATGTCCCGGATACCAGGTCAACGAGTACCACAAGTACTGCGGGCTCCGCACCAAGCTGCTAGGTCCATTAGAGTACATAAAAAGCTGTATCGAAGTCGGCGTCGGTATCTCTCTCGGAAGAGGGAAAAATTGGATGAACGAGTCTTGGATTCCTTCCCCTTCCTCTTCCATATCCAAGACTAGCTTCTCTCCTAGGAAAGCATTTACAGTTGGCACCACAGATGAAGAGGATACCTTCGACTACGCAACCGTGAAGAACAAAACGAGTATGATGGGACTAGGAGGCGCCAAGGCGGCAAAAGAGCTGTTCACGCAGAAGAAGTGGAATTGGGTGATGAATGAGGAGAGGGGGGGTATTGGTTTTGAGGATGTGAAGCCTACTTTGAGACCTAGTGTTAATCGGGGATTTGAAAGTGGGTTTAGATGGTAGAGTTTAGAATAGATAGTTATGAGAGTTGTTTATAATTGGGGGTGTTTTTGGTGTTTGTATGCCTTTGAGTGTGATGTTGTGGGAAGAATGGGTTTAGTTGAGGTACAGTACATTACCTTACGTTGAAGTAGCAGAGGTAAAGAAAGATAACCAGCGTTCGGCAACTGGAATTCCATTCCATTCCAGAGGGGGGGTCTGGAAAGTTCTGTTCCTTTTATAAGGAGGTCTGGAATTATTCCATTCCATTCCAGAGGGGGGGGTCTGGAAAGTTCTGTTCCTTTTATAAGGAGGTCTGGAATTATTCCATTCCATACCCCCGATTCCATGGAAATTCCATAGAATTTTTCACGTGACACGGAGAAATGTCGCTCCGGTCCGGCTAACTAATCAGAAGCCTAGGATTTGTAGGGTCCGTACGTATTAGGAACATCTATAGTATTAAAGATTAGAGATAAATTAACTATCGTTATATCGCCTCTATATACCCCCTAAGGTCGATAGAGAGCCTCGGTATTATCTTCTAAGCGTGTTTTCTCTAATAGAGGCCGGATTATTATAAAGGGTATATTAAATATTAGCAGTAAGAAGGTTAGGTAGGTTATACCTTCGAGACTAGGGTATTTGTCACGAATCACGTGTTAGCATGTGACGAGTGAAGACCAGGCGGCGTCCTGACAGGTTAAGCACTATCATTGGGCTCTTATAGCAAGTGAAGGGTGGGGCAGGCTTGCTGCTCCATCCAAGGATTTCATTGTATGTAGTCACGTGATGGATCTTGGGATCTTGAGGATCCCAGGATCCAGACAAGGGATCTGGGGGATCCTCAGATCCACATGGGAACGAAGGTTCTATATAAGATGGCATGTCTGCCATTAGATAGGAGCTTCGTGCTCAACT